TCAGTCCTCTGAATTAAACTGAAATGTGAGCTCCATATTCTCACTATATCATCATCAAAACTTTTTTCTTTTATATTTTTATTTTTTGTACATAATTTTTATATTTTGTCAAAATGGTTCGATAAACTGTATTTAAAAAAAAACATTTCATATTACAGGGTTTTAAAGGAAAAGTTCAACTGGAATATTAACATTATCGCTTCATTAAAAATACAATTATAAGTCGTAAAATATTCAAGCACCAATATGTCATCTCATAATACCTGAAACATGGCACTGTATTTTTATGATGAATTTTTGACAACTACAGCTGCATTTTTTATGTAATTGTGCTAAAATCCTAACTTAAAGATCCTATAACAAAACATCATGAACTCCTTAATCCCCCTTTTAAATTCGGAATAGTTTCATTTAATTTAATCCACTTAATTAGCAGCTCAGATCCTTAACCACTAGACACAAAGTCTGCGTGGTGATCTCAAACACAGACTGTAGTGCTTCCACGCTGCCTCACATACAAACACACACAAAAACGACATTTGGGAGAAAAGCCAGTCTCGCCTGGGGGTGATGAGCAGATGTGAAATGTCGATCCCATGCTTCTTTTCATTTCAGATGTATTCCCATTTTCGGTTTCTTACTCTCTCTGTCTTTTCTCATGTGTGCACTGTTGAGACTATACTCCTTTTTTCTACTGTTGTCAAAACCTGGACAAAAAGAGAGATAAACAGGAAGAAAAGCATGAGAGAAAAAGCAAGGGAAAGAGAAAGTAGCTTGAATCAGATTTATCCATCCTTCCCCAGCTTTTCTGCTGTGCCTGCACAAATTTTACATTGTTGGCAGTGGAAAAGTAGGAGGAGAGGCCCAGTGGTGTGTGTCGTAGTGTGCATATTCTTCCTCACAATAATGAATATGTGTGTCCGTATGTACTGTGTATATGTGAAAGAAAGTTTTTTTCTTGACAGATGATTATGTATGAGCACAGGGACTGCGTGTGTCGGCAGCATGCTATAATGGATCTCTCTATTTAAGGGCTGTTTATGCTTCTTTTTTTAATGTCCGGTGTTACTGAAGAGCAGTCACTCTGTAGTTATCCAATCTGCAGAAAATGTGAACACATGCACACATAAGCTAGGAAAAGCATGGGAAGAAAACAAAGCAGCGTAGTGAGAATACTAGCCTCACACAGAGATTCACAAGGTCTCTCTCCGTCACACGCACACACACACACACACACACACACACCCTCAGGAAATATGGAAGGCTGCATGGTGTATCTGAACTCTGTATCGCGTGCGATGACATAAAATCTGGAAAAGTGAAAAAGCACAAAAGTTTTTCCCGCTCTCTCTCTCTTTCGCCTTATCTGACCTGTCGCAATGAGGCTGAATGTTCTTGGCGCATGTGCGGTGCTCAGTCACAGCTGACATCTCCGCGGCTCTGTGTTTTATGGGGAGATTGTATGAATAAGAGATTATTGAAACTAATATCCTTTACTTTATGCTAAATTATGAAAACCATTAGGGGGCTTTGGTTCTTAAAAGACAAACAATAAAATCTCTCTCTATAGGGCATGTTTTCCAGATGTGCTGCTGCAGTACGTTTCTCGCCAAGTTCTTCGAGGAGGTTTACTTTAAACAAACGTATCTTGGCGTGCTCAGCAAGGAAAAGGAGGGTGATTTTACAAAAGGTTCATCGCTCATTTTTATGTGGAGGTTTTGGATGCTTTCGACCATCCATCTGTGCAACACGAAGTGAAACATAATGTCAATATTTGCAGTTTGTGGGAAAAAAATATATTTTATCCTGCTGTGCCGAGGAAAATCTGTATTATGATCATAACTACTCTCGTGCTGTCTTCTTTCCATTACAACTAGCATGCGGAAACCACTGTCGTTCATTTATGAATACCAAAGACTGTTTAAACTGCTTCCCAGACCATTATTGTGACATATGGGTCCTTAATGGTTGTCAAAGCAAAACATGTGCTTTTGTACTAACAATGCAAGTAAATCAAAGGAATCCCAGTCTTAATATTAGGACAGAGGAATAGAATAGCTGAACCGGGTTCCCTGAGCACTGACGAGGTGCTTTAAAGTGTTAAGTTGAGTTTGAACGCAGTTGTGCGATGTGCAGAAGATCGAAGAGGAATCTGATATGCTTGTTTATCAGGGGAGGATTCTGCCAGAGACACTTGGCAACCAAAACACCATGGCCAGCCAATGACCTTCTCCCACACGGGCTAACAGCCAATAACATCGTCCGACAGGGGCCAACAGCCAATGACCTTTTGTTGACCAGCCTGAACCAGCCAATGAACTTTTGCATTCAGATACTAAATAGCCAACAAGCCATCCTACAATTTCCAATGATCTGATAAATGGGTGAAGCAGAAGAAATCAATTGGATTTTACTGCATTTAAAAATAAATAAATAAATAAAATGATCATAAAATAACGTATATATTTATATTACTATACAATGTAATGTGAATATATAATGTGATATTAATTGAATAATTTATTATTAATATAATATTTATATATGCATTTATTATTTAAGATCAGATAATAAATAGAAAAACCTTGGATCCCATCTAAAAAGTTAGATTTGTAAATAAGTAATGACATTAACCAAGAAGAAAAGGCAAAAAAAGAAAAGAAAAGAACAACCGTTGTGTGAAAAAACATACAATCAGAGATATTTAATGCTGTTTCTTTGTCATGCATTCAAATAACTCAACACAAAGATAAATAAAATTATCCTCACAATATCTCCTGATATACTGAAAAGTAAAAAAAATAAAAATAAATTATGGTTCTGCGGTTTCACTAAACATCCTCAACTAGAAAAGCTCCTGTTTGGTAACAACTGAAACATTTTTAAGCTACGGTATGTGAATTATAGCGTGAGGTAATGAGACTGATTGATGAATTTGTTGTATAATGATGGGTGAATACTGTGGAGCAGTAAACAGGGAGATAACAGTGTCAGTCCAGAGCGTCAGATAAAGTCAAGCCTGTTGGGAGGAGGATGTGGTGGCTGATATTAATGAGCATATTAAAACAGGAGATGGAGAGAGAAGCAACAGAGTAAACAGTCTCAGCATAGCTGAGATTCCTAGAGTAAACCCACTGAATTCCTCTCCTCTACATGAATCAGAACAGTGCAGCTCCAGCCCTGTTTGTTCTCTGCCTCCCTTTTACACGATCCTCTGCAGTCTTTTACTGGGATTAAGAGCTGCACTCATTCATAGTTCAAGAAATCAACACTGTTCAGAGGGGGAAAAAATACCCTAAAAAGAAATATTGGGCCATAAATTTCTGACTGCTGACTCTGACCTTAAAACACCCACTTCTTTTTTCATTAACCCTTCTAGGAACTGCCATTGTGGTGTGATAGAGTACTTCTAAGCACATGGCACGTGTTTCAATGGTTGACGGCTAACTTAAAGTTCATCTATCCCAGTCTGCATGATGGATGCAAACAGTCCATAAGGATGAATAAACATTACTTAATCTTAGTTTTGTTGAGTGCAGTGGAGTTGAGCCAAACTCATCATGGTTCTGTTCAGTTCAGTTGGGTTGAACTGAGTGCAGTTGAGCAGAATTGAAATGTTGAGTTTTACGCCTGTTTCACACATACTCCGTCTGCAGTGCGTGTGCGTTGCGGTTTTTTTACGCACCCATGTTAACGGATTAGAGCTTTCACACTGCACGCGGTTGCGGTCCGTCAGTGCGTTCCAGGTGCGGTGCGTCTGCAGCAGTGCAGCGATCGTTTACGCACCGAGTCTATTTTTGCTGTGCTGCACGCGCTGAATTAAAGTGACAGCGCTTTGTTCGCGGTAAAAATGAACATGGGTTGAGACTGAAATGTAGTAATTTCACAATAAATAGATATAATTAAAGTCTACTGTGTTTCACGGGCTTTTTGGCTAGGTTTAAAACAAATAAAAGTGCACTTTTAGATATACAAGGCAACATATGCACTTGTGTCTTGTGGAGGTAGAAAAACAAAGTTCTTTAAGACCCGCTGGACTGTTTGTAATAAAGATTTAAATGTAAAAGGCACGAGAGCCGACTGTTTCTGTCAGTGGTAAGTTTTAATTTAAAATATTTGTGATAACCTAACACAAGAAAGCTATATGCTGTATTCAAATGTGTTTCCACTTGCTTGAGCAACTTAATATACACATCTAAAAGCCAAATGCATTTAATACGCTGTTTATATTAATTGAGTTTAAACGTGAATATATCTAAGATTGTGTTAACTGTGCTGTGATAAAAGAGGATCACAATGCTGAAAAAACACTTTCAGTATAGGCTAACTACGTTTGGATTTGAAATCAAAATAATGGATAAATGTTGTGTATACAGCCGCGGATCAGGAGCGAACTGCAAGCGCGTCCTGTGTGAAAGCACAATGAGTCCGTGCTGCTTCTGCACCGCATACGTAACGTACACGGACTGCAGACGGAGTATGTGTGAAACAGGCGTAAGTTACACAGAGCCGTCTGATTTACATTGAATGATTGATTTGCACTGAATGAGGATGAACTAACAGGTTCATCTACTAAACCTACCTAAAGCTACCACCTACTAAAATGATCTAAATTAAGACGACTACTATTGTTTAGAGAAAGTACTCGGTTATAGCCTACTACAAACTATGTGGAAAATGTATATATGAATGAATGTGAAGAATTTTTTTTTTTTACAAATTAAGCATATTATCAAACACAAAGTATCTCTAATATACTTATTATTTGAAAACAGATCTAGTTTAAAGGATTGCCGTTTTCACCAGATTTTTTTTAAAACATGGTAAAAAACAACAACACAATGATGACATGCTATTTTTGGTAAGCTACTTAAAGTGCTTTCGTATACAATATGTTAACACTTTTGTGGTCAGAAAATGCCTTTACCTGCAGGTGTTGAAGCTAAAAAAGACCTTCTTCACTTCATTCAGCGACATTTCTGTTTTGTTTAGGCCTCCGTTACTTTTTGTACGTTGCCGTGAATGTGTGTGAGTGTGAGCTGTTCGAAAAGAATCGATTCTGCTTCTGCTCTAACCTTTGTGACCGATTCGTTGTAAAGAACTGACTCAAAAGAATGATTCCTTTGCGAATCGAACACTGCTAGTTCAGATTCTGAACAGTCGAGAAAAAAAGTCGGATATGCGATATATTTGTTGAAAAGTTGCCGGGAAATATAACGAATATAAGTCATCCCTACCATGTTATTTAATTAAAAACTACTAAAAAGATACGAGAGTTTAAAAACTAGTGATGTTTCCACTTTACAACTGAGAAATGAAGAGCTTCACTGCCCCACGCTGATGGCTGTTAAGGGAGGTAAGAATAGTACTTAATGTGCCATATTCATTCATTCATGACTAAGCGTTATCTCACCCTGTATGTAACATATTACATTTTATTTTTAGCTAATGGTGTTGAAAAAAACGTGGGTGTGGTATAATTCAAGTTAAGAAATGTAAATACAAGCATCTGTAGCTTGACATCTATGTTCTTTGGCCTTGAGGTTGTGTAGGGCCCCTGAGAGCTTGTCTGCTTGCCTCTCCACCGTATCAGCATATCTAAACTGGAGTGAGTCCAACTGTTAATATACTCACTTTCTACCTTGATGCCTTGCTGCCTGTTGGATGATGCTGATGTCAGTCGGTTATAGATTAACTACAGAACGAATGGGCCGTGACAGGTTATTACAGTAACCTCAGCAATGTAAATGTACCTCACTTTTGAATCAGCATTTTACTATCTCTTGTCTCTAGCCATTTGCCAGCTGGAGTGACATAGTGTCTACGACCTTGTCCGCTTAAATCAGGTCACTAAATGCATCAGCATCTTGAAAGCCACTTTATTGCACTGGCCTTAGAGTAACCTGTTGGCTTTACGGAGAGCTTTAAGATCTAGAAATGCAGTGCAATGGAAAATATGTACTTCCACTGGAGGTACTGAAAGGGCTGTAAAGATAACTTGTAAAATGCCTATCACTCTGTTCATCTCATGTAGACAGAAGAGAAATATACTCTAGAAAGAGAGAGGATATGTCAAAAAGAAAAAAGTTTATAGAAAAATGAAAAGAGGAAGGTGAACATAGAGAGGTGTGAGCTGTAGTACTTGGTGTTCTACGTCCTTCCTCTCTACTGGGAAACGGTGTCTGTGTTCCAATACACGCCATACATCTTATCTCACTGAACAGGGTACGTACTCGGTCACCGTGATTTTGCCAAGTAAGACATGTTCCTGGATCAACATCTTTTGATGATCCTGGATCAACATTAATGTCCAAAAATATAGACTTAACCCAATCCCTACCCCTAAACCTAACCTTACCCATAATTTATTCCTAAAATCAGTGGGAAATGATAGCTCATTAACAAGAGTGTAAGAGGCACTAAACCTTAATTTTAAGCTTAAAACAAAATTTCCTGCCATAATTTATTCCTAAAATCAGTGGGAAATGATAGCTCATTAACAAGAGTGTAAGAAGCACCTAATCCTGATTGTAAGCCTAAAACAGATATTTCCTGAAAAGTTATATCTCTATTCTGATTGGTTGATTGTAATGTTGTTCCAGGATCAACAAGGATGTTGATCCAGGAACATGTTGTACTTGGTGAAATCACGCTCACGTACGTACTCACATATGCGCACATACAACAGTCCAGAGTCCAAGTACAGAATGACACACCTTTCTCTGCCAGTCAGAACATCTTCCCATCATTCTTCAATCATATTTAATCTTTTTGCTTCTACCATTTTCTTTTCTCTTTTTATCAGTAGTTGTTTTGCTATGAGGTTCTGTTCCCCCTTCCCCCTGCATTAAAAAAAGACTGCTTAAAGGTAAATTCTTTCATAATTTATTTACCCACGTTATTCCAAACGTGTTGGTATACATTTTTCCTCTTGTGGAACACAAAGAGAGATATTTGTGTTTTTTGTTCTACACTATGAAAGTCAATGGGGTCAAATGTAGTTTGGTCCCATATTTTGTGTTCTGCTGAAGAAACTCATACATACAGGTTTGAAACAACTTGAAGGTGAGTAAATGATGAATTATCATTTGAGTCAGCTGTGGCTTTAATGTCAGTGTGGTTCTTCTCAGATATTTAGAAGCAGTCTCTTTACCTTTTTTTTTGGACTGGACAGGATTGTGTTTCCCAAAAAGCATGGTAAGCTTAAGCAGATCCCGATCATTTGCACCTTAGAAGCCATTGGGAAACAATCTTGGCTTGAGACAACTCTGATCCAGTTCAGCTCATTTAAATAGTAGTTTACTATGTGTGCTTGACTGAATTGACTATGCAACATTGCGTAATAGGTCTATCGTCCCAGCATGCAGTGGTATAGTAAAACAGAATGTCATACAGCAGTGGTATTGGCATCGGTTTCATAACCATAGTACACTGTCAGAAAAAAAAAAAAGTGCAAATATTTTTTCTGACAGTGTATCTTGACTTAAGTTAAGAATTAATTCAGGAGTTTGTGAATTTCTATTTTGTGAACTGGTTTTGCCATAATAAATATACACCGATTTAAGCACAGTTGTTGAGGCACTAAACGGGATATAAAAACTCTCAACATAGCTTTCATTTTAAATGGCAAGATTTTGTAATTCTATATTCATGGTTGTAAAATGGTTTATTTGTGATGGGGACTTTAGACAGAATGTGATTTTTGCCTAAACCTGTAGTGGCAGTTCTAAAATTTTACTTGAGTTTACGTTTAGAGAGGTGTTGGCCTCGGTTAGGAAAAAGCTCACCTAGATTTATGCGTAGGTTTACTTACTGCAGCAGGATTTTTTGCAGGCGCCTCAGCTGACTTGGTAAATGAATGTCTAGGTTTTGTGCCCCTCTAAACAGTTAGTACAAACACAAGGAATGTATTTTGTATTCAATTTTAATTTACAATGCACAAAAACCCAGTATACATTTATGTAAAAAAGCAAGTTGCCCAGCAACCCTCATACTTAAGCAAAATATGCCAATCAAATATTCATGAAATATTGACTTTAGTCTCATTTTTAAGAACTTTTACACAATTGCTTTATTTTAGCCCAGCCTGATACAATACAAAAAGTATGCAGTCGCCGATTCACTATTCCTCTAGAGAGCATAACCTTTAATTAGTTGTTTAAATAGTGCTAAACATGCATTGCCTTTCATGCTTATTTTAAATGTTTAAAACTTTAGATAATAGAAAATGAAAATAAACAGTAGAATTAAAGATGCTTCAGACATCTTATAAGATTGCCTTGCCTTTTCTTATCCTCCCCTTTTTAATTTCCTCCTAAACAGGAATATAGATCTTAAAGGCTGTCTGGTGAGGCTATGACATATAGCCTGAGGTACAAAAGTCTATCTACAGCGACTCCAAGAACACATAGCTCTACGAGACTCAATGAGGGCAAAGGTCATGTGGCTGCTCCCATAACTTTTAGCAACACCTTCTGCTGCAGATGTAAATTCACACATACTGCTCTGAGACTGGTCAGGGAAACAAAATGGTCAAAATTGAACATAGTTAGATAAAGAGCTTCTTCAGATAAGGAATTTTTCAATATAACTCATAATTTACATAATTTTATAACTTTAGGGCACGTCAGGTGATTGATGACTTTCAATGTTCAGCACCAGTCATTCTCAATCTTATCTCGACAGTATTTACAAAGACAGAGGAGTTACTGTTATGAAATAATTTGTGTTAATTTACCTACCAACACCCTAACATATACACTAGAGCTAATTTTGTACTCTATCTGTTCTTCTCCACCCTTGTCAAAATTGAAAGCTTAACTGTAGGGATTTAAGGACTACTGGTAATGCAGACACTGCCTGGAGTCTGATGCAATACGTTTAGTCTGTCTTGAGTCTGTTACCATAGATACAACAGTGTATTTGCTATAATAAGACATGGTCAACAAATAAGTTTGAATCAACCCAAGCTGACAGGCAAAAAAGCAGAAATACAAAATAGATCTTCCTTACTTCATCCTTGCTTAATTCCAACTCATAATGATGTTAACCGACTACGGTACTGTCTATTAGTTGCATTTCTGAATCCTTTCTATTGACATTAGAGTGGAGTGATGGAACACATTTACTATTATTATATTTACTGTTAAATCTTCGTGACCTGCTTTGGCCAGATTTCAAAATTGTCTATTGATGAACTTTCACAGTCCTCCAAGACACTGCAAAAAGCTGCTTTACAAATGGAAGGCAGATATTAAAGTTATCTCCTGCACATCAAATCAGAGCGTGGGTTGAACTTTCTGCGGTTGCTATGGCAATCGTAACATTCTGCATGAGATATAATACGAGTGGAAAAAGAAACCGAATTTGAGTGTACAAACTGAAGATGCACAAGTTAAACACTGCGGACAGTACACATTCCAGGAATGGGAGGGGAAAAAAGCATAATACGATTAAGTAAAATGATTTGCCTAGAGAGCCTCCACACAGCCCACAGCAGAGCACACTGCAAACCAACATCAGGCCCTCACTGGCTGCTGTTACTGCCGCTGTTGTTGTTGTTGCAGAGGTCTCCGGGGCCTCCACCAGAAGCAGGGGGCTGCACGTTGTCTGCGAGGTTGTGAGCATGCTCTAGAAACAGGTCTTTGAGCACACTCAGTTCTTTGCTAAGCAATTTGATTTTGGCCTCCAGTCTCTCATTCTCCTCCTTCAGCTCATCGACACGCTGTTGGGTGTCCTGTGCCTTCTGCTTGCTGCGCATGCGGCTCTTCTTTACGGCCAGGTTGTTGCGTTCTCTCCGTTGGCGGTACTCATCTGTGTTTTTATCCGTAGAGGACTTCTTCATCTTGCTGAGTGGTGTGGCCTTACCCCCACCTCCGGGACTCACTGGGACTAATTGAGGAACCTGTCAGAATTAAAATAATGTCATGCATAGTAAAGACAAGCAACCACATACCTAATAAACAACTAATTTGCGGTTTTGACAATTAGGTTGCAAATCTTCTACAAATCTTATTCCTCAAGATTGTGAGAAACTGGATGATTGAATGCACTTTACGAATACATACCATGGTTTAAGCACTGCAAAATGACAATGCAATGCTTTTACAGAGTCATGAATATTAATATTCAGAAATGCATGGTTAAGTAGGTTAGTTTGTTGATGTGTACCTGCTGTAGTCCTGCCGGGTTCAGTGCACTATTATGTGGCTGATTCTGTATAACACTATTGCCGTTCTGATCTGTGCTGGATATCTTCTGTTGCAACTGCTTGCTCATTTGGATCCACCTCCACTGTCTTTCTCTCTCCCTCTCCGACCTGCGTTGTCAGACTTCGCAGAGCTGGAGTTGGTGTTA